TATATATATAATAATAATATATATTTATAAATAGATGTATATATGTATATACATATATATATATAATCATATATAATGCTATGTATATATGTATAATTATATATAGATATATATATATATATATATATATGATTATATATATACATAGAATTATATGTTTATATATATATACATATATATATATATAAAGGTACGTGCACAAAGGTCGTTAACAATATTGAAGCATTTCACATCAACGCAATAAATTTCAACGCTGAGCATTTCCCTGTTTTTAGTTCTCAAAAGAAACAATTATATTGCTTTATTATAGATTTGTAGCATACTTGCAAGGAAAAAAGGATGAACTAGCGCTTGAGATTACCATGCAAATGGGACGGCCGGTGTCGCAGGCGGGTGGTGAAATAGCTGGAGTAGCAGAACGAGCACTGCACATGTCATCTATAGCTGCAGAAAGTTTGGCAGGTAAGCAGCTTTCTGTATGCTGATTTAATTCTACCACTACATTTAGAGTTTGTACGCTATATACATCACAGTGTCATAGCAATTATTCTCTCCTGGGCTTATATTTTATATATATACAAATCGTAGGTTGTTTGAATTAGCAAGGAAGATACTAGAGATTCTTCGAGTGCGCCTTTTCGTAGTGAATGTCAAAGCGCTTTACTATACAGAGAACGCATCAGGTGCTACTCGTCAGTAGACTGCATTACAACTGATGTGCTATATGAACCTACGCATGTAGTACAACAATACGCAATAACCTTTTTTTAGCTGGTAGGAATAAGGGAGACTTGATGTGCGTATCAGTTTGCTGAGAAGAAGCAGGCCTATCTTCTATTTTTATATTGTTATTCAATCATAGTCACCTTTTCAATACATATTGTTTTTAAATGTCTATGATATTTCAATCAAGCTGCCTGATGATTGTACAGCGAGACAGAGTGGATTAGGCTCGGTTGGCAAACCAAGATTTACTCGTCTGGTTTTTTAACTGGAACTCTATTTGTGTTTCACACTACTAGATGTGTTTGTTGACGGTAAAGATGGCTTCAAGCGGTTCCTTCGTAAAGAGCCTTTGGGAGTTGTCTTTGTATGTGGTGCGTGGAACTACCCGTATTTGATTGCGGTCAATGCCGTGGTGCCCGCCTTACTAGCTGGAAACACTGTCATCCTCAAGCAATCTAGCGCCACATTACTGTGTGCAGAGAGGTAGGTTTTTAGAAATATTTATTGTCTGTTTGAGTGTGTTTCAATTCATGGTTCAGGTTGTGCATTCGTTCGTGACGACTGCAAAATGAATAAACTCTTGTATGTTGGGTCATCTTTGTTGACCATATAATTAGCTGGGATCAATGTGCGTGAGTCTTAAAACAATCTGCTTTGCGAAGGCTGCGTTTTTGAATGTCTCTCAGACATTCACGACACGTGTCATGTGTGAAGCAGCTTTGGTTGTGTGTATGTGGACGTTTTGGGCTCAACACTCATCGATGTTAACACACGGCGTAAAAATTTCCGACCAGTGTTGGGTCTGGAGAACCATATGCCTTGGCATGGGGAGCACAATTAGAATAATAAGTTTCCATCTCGTCCGTTACTGTCATTTAAGCATTTGATTCGGTAGAGAATCAATATTACGCTACGTGTCGGGTAATGCTAAGAAAATTCATCACCCTCAACACTCATTGTGTAACGCGCTTAGTCTGATTGTATATGTGATATTCAATGTATATGTTGCGATATTGAAATAGATTGAGAACTTCACTTGGACTTTGAGTGGGTATAGGCTCAAGCAATTGAGTATCTCGTTGTACGCTGACACACCACCTAATAGGTGCCGTGAACTATGCAACGACCAGTGAAAGCAGTCAGCCAACTTCAGTCATGAAAGCTTCATTCGCTCTCAAGTGCACAGCTCATTCCACAGCAAGTTATTTAAGATCGTTCACACTTATTCCCTTGCGAACAGATTTGCCGAAGCATTCGAGGCAGCTGGCCTGCCCAAGCACGTGTTTCAGTACTTGCACATGACACATTCTGGTACAGCGGCGCTCATCCAGCATCCCAAGGTCGCCTTTGTCAACTTCACTGGGTAAGTGTGTAAGATCAGGAATCATCTATGAAGTCATGGAAGACGGCATGTAGCAAACTTGATAGTCTGTATTCTATAACTATTGCTTCTTAAGATATGTTTACATTGATACCGGGCCAGACGTGAATTTTCAACTACATCTCTCGAGTGTAACTTTTAACTAATTATGACTAAATCTACGCAAAAATGCTACTTCACAGCTCGGTGGAAGGCGGTAGAGATATTCAAAAGGCCAGTTCCGAGAAATTCATGGGTGTCGGCCTGGAGTTGGGCGGCAAAGACCCCGCATATGTGAGACAGGACTGCGATATGGATTACACAGTGGAGCAGCTGGTCGACGGAACCTATTTCAACAGGTGTGAGTTTGATTGCAAGGTGTGCTTCTGTGAGTTGAAGTCTTGTATTATCGGTTTAGCGTGATAGTATATACGTATATCTGGGTGGGTGTGCTTATTTCATGGGAATCAAGTGCTGTGTTCCACCAAGAATTGGAAGCCAATCAGGTAGTGTGATAATTATATATCGAATCTACCTCGTGAGCTGACTCATATAGTTGAATGTAGTGCTACCTTGCCATTGCTTGTAAGTGTATCATCAAACAATCAGGCTCCATCATAGTCTACGTTGGCATACATGCAAAGTCATAACTGCAAAGCTCGTCGGAGCGGAATATAATGGAACCTTTTTAGCTTCTGACCTTGTTCAACTGCAAATTTTCAGTGGCCAGTGCTGTTGTGCCATCGAGCGGATATACGTGCACGAGGCCGTCTACGACAGATTTGTGCAGAAGTTCGCAGGATTAGTTGAGTCGTTATACCGTTTGGGAGATCCTACGGACAAGGTAAATGTGTGCCGGTGACTCTGTTGCATGCAAAGTATTTGGCTCATATGTAGCAGCAATTATTTTTTTCGGCGTAAGTTACATTTCAAATTGCGTATTTGTTTCACAAATTATGTAAGGAGTAAACCGATTGCATATAAATTGAGCTGAGCTATATTTTACATTATTTCAGAATACAAATCTTGGGCCGATGGTCCGAACTTCCGCCGCAGATTGGGTGCGAAAACAGGTCAAGGAAGCCATTGCAGCAGGGGCTAAATCGCTGGTCAGTGAGGATAAGTTCCCAAAGTCAGAGGTACGATACCCCATTCCACCAAACACAGATTGTCGTCGACATATGCATGATTGATATGGGCCTGTTGTTCTTCAGTCATATGGGTGGTCCAATTCAAGCTTCCGCGAAGTGTGTGATGTCGTGCATTAAAAATGCGTTTCATTCCACAGTTTTCGTCCCAATGTTGCTACCAATTATAGTGATTTATAGGAACTTTGCAGGGATACAGTGGTGCGAAGTGTGTCGATTACATGGTATCGTGTGCCGCACATTATGTGTTTGTGCTGCTCGCATATGATCAGTCTGAGCTGTGCGCTCTTTTCTCAAGGTGGGACCGGGACAGATTGCACGCTTCTGGTACTTGAACAGCCACAGTTCTATGGCTGGATTGCGTCTAATCACATGCTGTTGTGCATTCAATTGCCCATTCCATTCATCAAATGCGTGTGATATACAAACGCGTAGCTAAACATATTACAATTCGCACTGATATTGTACAGGAAGGTACCCCTTATATGGCACCTGTTGTGCTCGTAGACGTTGATCATTCGATGTCTGTTATGAAAGAGGAGTCTTTCGGACCAGTGATAGGCATAATGAAGGTGGGGTTTCTCTTATTTTCTGGTGCGCTGATCCAGCTTTTCCATGCTCAGCTACCTGTATGATATAGATGCGCTAAAGATAAAGCATCATAGACTAATTTAATAGCGTGACTGATCGCTGGTTCTTGGAATACGTAAATACGCTCGTTCTATTCGCGCCAAAACGATTTTACATGCGCGAATGCAGACGACCTCAATTGGTACTTCCGTTATGCTCTCAGGTGTCATCTGACGAGGAAGCTATTTCGTTGATGAACGACAGCGACTTTGGATTAACAGCAGGGATATGGACACAAGATATAGATGCAGCTACCAGAATAGGCTCTGAAGTACAGACGGGTACCCTATTTGTCAACAAGTAAGTCTGTTCACTGGCATTACACGCACATGCACACGCACAAGCACAAGCACACACACATACACACACACATACACACGCACACACACACATACGTACTCTCTCTCTGAGTAGAGAGAACGAGAGAGAGAGAGGACACACACACACACACCACACACACACACACACACACACACACA